ATTCAACGTTCAGATTTCTGCAGTTATCTCATAATTTTTCCCTGCCCTGCCCTCATTTCCTTCCCTTCTACTTTTCTTTATTCCTTTATTTCTCCTCCCTCCTTTTTTTTTTTTTTTTTTTTAAAATAAGAGTTGTTTGAATAAAGATCCAAATCTGGGCTTATTTTTGAATCTTCGAGTTCTCAGCACCTGGTTTAGTGCCCAATATATAATAAATCCTCAGTAAATGTTTGCTGAATGAATGAATCATCAGAAATCTATAAAACATCCTGGTTGAATTAAGGTAGCCTTCCTGTCTTTTTGATTGGTTTCTTGGGATGGCTTTGGTTTCCGATAACTATGGTTGGAGGTTACAATAGATGTCTGCGGTGCCCAGTGCCTGTGATCTACATTACTAAAGGTCTGAGGGCAGTGAGTGTACCTGTGACTCAGACTTTTACAGGCTGGAAGGAAAATGGGCCCTTGCCTGTCTCTGCTTTTTTTGTCCTTAGTCTCTTGTTTTCTCGCTTAGAGTTTAGACTGAGCGAGCATGTTTGGCTTTTTTTGCTATTTCTTCAGAACAGGGATTCTGAACTGAAGGAGATCCTCGACCCTATGGATAGCTTCCCTGCAGTGCTGTGGTGGACAGCTTTCTAAGGTGGCACCCCAAGGTTTACCCCTAACCCCCGGACTATGAATATGTTTAGATATCATGCCCGGGATGTTACCTTATGTAGCAAAAGGGATTTTGCAAATGTAATTAATTAACATTAACAAAAAAGGTGATCCGAGTGGGCTTGATCTAATCACACGAACCCGGTAAAGCAGACAGTTTTTTCCAGTTTGTTGCAGAAGAGGAAATCAGAGATTAAAAGTGTGAGAGGGATTCAATTTCAGGGATGTTCTCCATTGCTGAGATGGAGGGGACCTCGTATCTAGGACCTGAGAACATCCTTAGTAGCTGAGAGCTGTCCCTAGCAGGACAATGGGACCTCAGTCTCATTACTTCGAGGAACTGAATTCTGTGAGCTAATAAATGGGTGTGGTTTTAAGCCACTAAATTTGTGATAATTTGTTTTGCAAAAATAGAAAATGAGTACCTGTTAGATTGAATTAGCTGTTCCTTTGCTTATTTTATTTTTAAAAATGAGATAAGATTAAAATACATTGAAATGCATACAGGAATGCATCTTAAGTGTACAACTAGATTTTTAGTAAATGTCTACACCTGTGTAATTAATCCTCACCTGAATTGAGACATCGAACATTTCCATCAGTCCAGAACGCTCCCTTGTGTACCTCTGCGGTTAATTCCACCCCTCCCCCGCCCGATGGTGAATTCTAACACCATTAATTACTGTCACCTATTCTTGAAGTTCATTTAAGTGGCCTCTTAGAGTATGTGCTTCTTTGTGTCTGGCTTCCTTTCCACAGCATAATGTTTTGGAGTTTCATCCCTCTCGTTTTAGTAGCAGTTTGTGCCCTCTTTATTGCTGATTAGTATTCTCTTGTATGGATATAGCATAATCTTGTTATCCAGTCACATGTTGATGGATATTTGGGTTGTTTCCGTTTTTTGGCTATTATGAATAATGCTGTTATGAACATTCATGTGTGACTGTGTGAATATCTATTTTTATTTCTCTTGGGTAAACACCTAGGAGTAGGATTACTGAACTGTATATTTAACTTTATTAAAAAATGCAAAACTTTTCCAGAGTGGTTGTGCATTTTATATTTCCGTTGGCAATATCTAAGAATACCGGTTGTTTTTCATCCTCACAGTGCTTGATATCATCAGTCTTTTAAAGTTTAGCTATTTGTCAGTAATTTCTTTTTGAGTACTTGATACCTTGCAGAATATATTATTTATGTTCTGTTTGTCTTGTGGAATGTTCTCCCAACTCCCCAGTTTTTCAGTCTTACCTGTGTTTAAGGCCAGTATTTCCTAACAGGGAATATATTGTGAGAATCACCTGGAAGTTTTTCAAAATATACAAGTCACAGTCTCACTCCAGACGTACTGTATCAGCTTCTTCAGGGATGGTTTACAGGCTTATTATGTATGTTGAAAAGTTCCCTAGGTAATTCTGATTTATACTCCTTGCTGAAACCCTCTACTCTTAGGCTCAAGTCCTACCTGTGATAGCAGACTACATGTTAAAAGCATCTGGGAAGCTTTAAAAAATGACCAATGCCTAGGTTCCAGCCCACACTAATTAAATTGGAATCTGTGGGTGGGGACTGAGTATCAGTTGTTTTTAAAAATTTTCCCAGTCATTCTAATGCTTAGCCATATTTCTATTGAATTTCTCTCTGTCTTCTCTTGTGGCTTTTATCTCTTTCTATTTTTGTGTTGTAATAATTTTTCATGTCTTATCTCCTGTCTTAGGACTTATGTTCCTTGAGATAGGGACCCCTTATCATTTCTGTCTTTCATGCTGTCTAACACTGAGACTTGTGGCATAGTAGGTGCTCCATGAGGATTTTATGGACACATAGATTGGTCACTAGGAAAAGAGTCTCAGTCGCAGGTAGGTGGTGTCCTGAGTCTCAGGTGTGCACATTAACGTTACAGGTCAGAGTTGTTGCGTGCAACTGACATTTTAGGTGTGGGTAACCCCGCTGTGAGATACCAGAAGGAAGGAATATTTCCCTGTGTGGTATTTGTTTTCAGGCCTATCATTGTGACTAAGAATTATATGTGTGTGGGGCTGAGGGGAAGGGGTGGGTAAGGAGACAGGTCTAATTAGAATGGAGGGATTATACTAGAGAGGAAAAAATCTGAACTTACCTGATAGGCCAGAGCAGGCCACTGTAGATTCCGAAGTAGGGGAGTGAACCAGTTTTTAGGAAGGTAATGAGTCAGTGGTTCGCAAGAAATTTCTATAGAGAGAATAGAGACAAGAAGTCAAGCTGCACTTTTAGCAGCATGTTGAGGGCTGGGGTTATTTGGGTTTATTGGAATGGAGAGGAGGACACAACTGAGAGATGTTAAAAAAAAGTATCGACAGACTTTGGCAATGTGTCGCATCTGGGAAACCAAAAGCAAGGGCTGAGGAAGCGGTTGTGTCACTGAGGGTCATGAGTGAGCCGTGGGGAAGCCAGTTTAAATGGGGAGTAATTTCAGATTATTCGGATTTGAGTGTCATGAGTTCTGGGAAGTAGTAGGGGCCATCTGCAGAGTGGTCACTGAAGCCTGGGAGGTGGTGTGGAGGGAGACGGCGGGGCCTGAGCGTTAACTCTGGTGTGTGTGTGTGGGGATGCAGTGTGTGGGTGGAGGATGGAAGGAGGGGGTTGCCCAAGGAGACAGTTGTCCGTGGTCTTAGATGTAAAAACGAACAGTGTGAGGATAGTGAATATACTTTTGAATTTGGCCAAGAGACAGATGCTGATTTTATGCTGCTTCCGGTGGTCTTGCAGATGGAGGAGAAATTCAATGAGGAAAAGACAAGACAGCACACGTTTCAATCGCTCGGAAGTGAAGGAAATGAGGTAACAGGCTCATACTTAATGTAATTAATACATGAAGGTTATTCAGGTTAGAAGAGATCTGACCCCAGGAGGGGCCAAGGAAGGTAGAAGGTGCTAGAGAGATTTCTATGTGACAGAACCTGTGGAGAATCCTGTGATGAAAAGTCTGTTGCTGCACCTGATTCACTGGAGCCACCTGTGGGGGAAGTGTTATTTGCCCTGAATAAAGAGGCCGGGAGATGTTTTACTCATCATCTTTCCCAGAGGAAAGCAGGCAGCGTCTTCCAGGCGGGTTGCCGCTGTGGCCTGTTGCTTCTAGATGGACTCACTGTGTTAGCAGGTGTGCAAATGAATTTGGCGAATTCTCTGATCACTACATCCAATATCTGTAGACTTAGAAATAGACTTACTCTGACTCCCTGTGAAGCGATTTCTCTTTCTTCTGCTTGTAAAGAAGACATTGTCTAAAGTAGTATCAACTGTGAGGCGGCATGTTGATGTCTGACATAATTTTTATTATAAATATAAAGCAAATTTTACAAATAATTCAGAAGTGGCTTTAGCCAGGCAAAATTAAATAACACAGTATAGCATGGATGAGGGGAAGTACACACAGTCTGTCAGGTTTAGAAAACCCTGAAAGAGGTACCTGAGTACAGAGAACTCCCAACTAACCCTCCTTGAGGGGCCTCGCAGACACAGCATGAGATCAAGTAATTAGTATCAAATAAAACCTTTCCGTCAACAGCCCCAGAGAGAGTCCATCTGTGTAGAAGGCTGGGCGGAAGTACATTTGCCTCTCCTTCTCCTGCCCTTCCTTTTTATTCTGACACATTGGGACTCACAGACCCTATGGGAGAAAACAAATTTCAGAGTCTGTTCAAGAAGCTGGGGGCGCAGTCATAATCCTCCCACGTCCCACGGAGCGTCAGCACCTGTGCAGCCTTCTAGGTTATGAACAGTGTCAACAATGTGATAATGTTCCCTTTGGGGTGCCCACTTCTCAAGGACCAAACACATCTTAGCAGAGGCTAAGATTTCCTGAGAGAGCGAGTGGGGCGGACGGGCAGAACATGCACAGGCAGAAACGTGGAACACAGTGGGGCTGATGATTGGCCCGAGATGCCTGGAAACTGAATTCCATCCACTTCTAGCCATGAATGAGAACTGCTGCTGCTGCTTTTCTGTTCGGATCCCCTGACACGAAAGCCTTGAGGAGTTCCTGCCCAGGGGACTTGAGGGGTCTTGGTGGCTTCTTTCACCTAAGGCGCTCAGATTGGTTTACACAGCTAAGTAAAAATACCCCCTTTCACATAAATAAGGAGTTACAAAAATAAAAACGGTACAACGTCTCAGAGAAACAGGAAAAAACCCAATGCTCCAAATTGTTCATTCTTTAATAATTATTTAAATAATCTCTGAAGGGTAACGCTCTGATTTCTTTCTGAAAATTCCCAGCAGATTGTCTCTGTTGGGAGCTGACTGCCCCCTAAAGCCACAGCCCTGTCACTCTGCAGGCAGTTCCTTGAATAGAGTCCATCGAGTTATTAAAACATACGTGGTTTTTTTTTTTTTTCTTTACATTTTCTATTGAGAATCACCTATAGTTTTCCTAGTTGCTTCTAGTGGATTCTCTGAAGACAGGCTTGCCAAAGAGCTTAGGTGACATTCTAGCCAAGCAGCGAGGTGTTTAGGCTCTGGTCCTACATAGACAACCTAACAGTGGACAAATGTGTCAAATTTTCTAGTTCACAACTGGTTATATATTTGTTTTCCTGTGTGTAGCAGGTTCACACTGGGCTTTGGAGAGACAGGAGCAACTTTTACTTTTTCTCTCTTCTTTTCTGGCACATGCATTTCAAAAGATAAAGATATAACTCTCAGGGTTACAGCAAATTCAAGTCACACTTCGATAATAAGAGTGTTCTGAATAGGTAACTTTAGATCAAGTCCAGGGCAGGAAAGGGGGAGGGGCCGAAGTTTCTGGCAACTCTCAAGGTCTGTTTTGCCAAATTTCAGTGACAAGAAAGGCTGGGCTTCCTACAGACTCCCGGATGTACCTTTCATCTGTTGACTCTGAAGGGAGGCACTTGACCAGGCAGCCTGGAGGGGCCTCACTAGGAGTGAAGCAAGGAGAGAGGCTTCTCCTTCTCTCTGAGGGGAAAGGGATCCCCTAGTGTTTCTCTGAAGGGAAAGGGATCCCCTAGTGATGGAGATGAGAAGCTTGGGATCAGTCGGCAGTGCGGTGAGCAGGGCAGGTTGCATTACTTCTTTTTTACTTCTGAATAAACTGTTTCTGTGGCCGCTGGGGACAGGGAGGCTGAGGTTGGTCTCTTTGGTTCCTGGGCACTGAAGTTCAGGGAAGAATATGCAACTTCCTCCATCTGAAAGGCATGAGCAGCGGTCAGTTAAGTCACTGTCATAGGTCAGGCCCTCACCCTATCTGGTGTGATTCAGCACCACCTGCTCTCACCACTTTGAAACTTCTAGCTTTGGGGAAGGGTTTATTTTTTATTTTTTTATTTTATCCATTATCTCTGCTTGTTGACATCCTGTTGAATGATCATTAGAAGAGATAGATTATGATATTCATACAACGGAATATGATGATACAGCAATGAGAACGAACAACTACCAATGCATACCACAAAATGGATGAATCTCACAAAAACGATTTGAATGAAAGAAGCCAGACACATTCAAGGATATGCTTTGTTTTTCCTTTTACATACAAGGATATACTATGTAAGAGCATAAAGGAAAAACTAATCTAGTGCATTGGAATTCAAAATAGTGGTCAGTTCCTTTTCGGAGGAAAGTAACTGGAGGGTTTCTCTGAGGGTGATGGCGGCATGTCCTGTTTCTTGATTTCAGTGCTGTTTAACTGGGTATGTTCAATGCGTGAAAATTTGTATCATTACAATATACTTATGATTTAAGCACTTTTCAGTATATGTGTGTGCTCCATTGACAAGCTGAGAGAAATTGGGTAAGATTATTATAAAGTAAAGGAGTCAAGACCTCGGACCCATTGGAATGGACATTATCCTTTGGCAGTAAGAGCAGGGCCAGGCTGAAGGTAGAGGAGGGAGGATGACCCAGTGCCTTCCTCATGCTGGGCATGGTGCTGGTGCTTTGCATTTGTGATCTCGTTTAATTCCGTCAGTCTTTCTCGAAGTGGGCAGCATGCCCATTTTACAGATGACAAAGCTGAGGATCGAAGAAGTTAAGTTACTTGCCCAAGGTCACAGAGCTACTAAGAGTCACAGGCAGGATTCATCCCAGGACAGGGAAAACTCTAGAGTCCATGTTGTTCATGAACCAATACGTCTTTGTTTGTTGCTGCGTTGAGGAACTGGGACCTAAACTTGATCTTACCTTAGTGTCTTCAAGAGTAACCCATTCTGCACAGAGCTATTTCCAAGAGAAAGTGAGCCAAGAAACTAGCTACGCTTACCTGGTTAGGTGAGTTGTCAAAATGTCTCTGACCTGGGGAAGAGAAAGAAGAGTTAGCGGTCCATGAAAATGCAGAGCTGACATATGGCTTCAGAGGGTGGTGTTCCTTACTGCTGTGATCTGGAGCCGAAGCAGGTGGCAGGTGGTGGGAGGGTGGGGCGGGGAGGTGGCCCATGATCACTTAAGGAATTCGCTTCCCTCAGAGTGTGTGGTCCAGACCCAGCGCGTTAGTGCCAGAGAGGGGACAGGAGTAGAACCTCAGAGGGCCCAATCGACTTCTGAAGACTTTTTCCAGTTCACAATGCCTTGATTTTTGCCCAGATGTGTTTCTCAGCAACAGGCGCCAGTGGCAAGGAGTGGCAACAAGGCCCGCAGCACCCAGAGCACCACAAGACAGGGAGAGCGCCCACGCCCGTCACAGAGGCAGGAGGGGCAGGGGGAAGGGTAAGGAGTGGCTCCCGGAAACATGGCCCTCTTACCCAGGCCTGCCATCTTACTTGGCCTAGGCTGAGCGAGTCTCCCCCAGGGCTGTGTCTCAGGGGAAACTTTTGTGGCTAGAAGGATGTGAGGACTTAAGGCTGGGAAACGGAGATCCCCTCTAAAAATTCACAGGGGCGGGACTATTTGGGAATCCAGAATTCCCCGCTGGGGCAGGGCACGCACGTGGTAGAATACACCAGCTCACTGGGTGATGGCTTTACTTACTGTGATTGGAGGCTGAGGGTTTGTGCTCTGTGTGATCACGCTGGTCACTTGCCCTAAATAAATATCAGACATTGTGACTGCTATTCCCAAGCACAGGTTCTTTGCCCCTTGAGTGAGGAAGGACACTGTCCCAGATAATTCCGTGGGGCTCCTCAGCGTTCGTTTACACCAGGTCGGCCCTGCCTTTCCTCTCAGCGCCTCCTCTCCAGTGTGCCCGCCATCCCTCCTAGTGCGCACGCCTGTCCTGCTGCTGATGTTCACGCTTAAGCTCTCTCTTTAACTGCTCTGAGCCTACTTCTGCCCTGACACCCTTCCCTTTCGTGCATAGATGCTGTTTTTCTCACTTTGTTTATTGCCCAAGAAGCCTCTGATTTCTACTTTTTCTTGGATTCTCTTCCTCTCTTATCTCTCCCTCCTCCTCCTCCTCTGGTTGACAGAGCTCACACCTTATTTTTCTCTTGCTCTTCCTTTCATCTCATTTGTTTTCCTTCTTGGACCTTGGTTTCCCTGAATGGGAGACCGAGGAACATAATTGGATCTGTCTCCTCTAAACCAGATGGGGATGGGAATAACCAAGTCCAAGAGAGAGTTGGGTACAGGAAGCTTGAAGACCAAGGAAGGAGCGGCCACAGGAATTAGTGCCGAGAAGCAGGAGTTTAGGAACGAGGAGGAGCAGATCCAGGCCCAGAGACAGAGGGAAATCTCCCCTCTCCCAAGCATGGCGCTTAGCCTTGCAGGAAGCTGCACAGGAGGAAAGGCCATCATACCCTCCAGTCTTTCTGCTGTACAGAAAGTACGCCAGGGCTGCTATCAGAGCCACCCCGACCAGGACTCCAATCACGATGCCGACGATAGCCCCGTCTGAGAGGCCAACACTCTCTGCTGTTGAGTCATCTGTCGTGGATAGAAAAGGGAAGAATAAATGAAGGTGATGTTATTTTTACAGTGGGGGTGGCCTGGGGAACAACTCTCAACATCGAGTGGTCTCTACTCGTTCCTCCAAGGTGTACATTTTCTGTGGGATGGCTGCTGTGAGGCGATTATATCCATGTCTTTTTTTTTCTCGCAGTGTATTTCTAGGTTGGTGGTCAGACCTGCCTCGATTCCACCCTGGCCTTTCTGCACCGTGTCATGGTTGCATCTTTTTCTGTGTACCAGGTGTGGCAGCCATGAATCTGTGCCTCTCGGGTCTTTCTCCCTTGTGCTGGGGACTTAAATGACGTTCAGAATGCACCACCTCCTCTGCACAGAGACCACGCTTCCCATAGGCTCCATCTAGGACATGAAATCATCTTAATTCTGTGAGAAATGGTTTTCCTCTGATGGGTGATGGATACCAGCTTTTGCCACTTCTATTCAAGCTCAAGGAGCCCCCGTCAGCCTTGCTGATGCTGCATTGCAACCTAAAACTTCCTTCTCCTTCTCCTTCGCAGCTATCAGATTGCATTGTGGTCTGAGGACTCTCCCAGGCTCTTCCCACTCCCATCCCACTTTCCTTCCCAGGCAATTTTCCTGATAAATATCTTGTATGTCTCATCCCATCTTGGCTGCATCTCAGGGGATGAAAACTGACAAACCAGGTTTAAAACTTTGCACTCAACTCCTTTTTATCCCTTCCCATATTTAGTCAGTAACCATGTCCCAATGATTTTTGTGTGTAATGCCCCCCACCCAATTATAATACATTTTGCATCTGTTTTTTCTTTTTTCTTTTCACTGCTCTCACAATTATAATACATTTTGCATCTGTTTTTTCTTTTTTATTTTCACTGCTCTCATTCAACTCAAAGTTAATGATTAATGTCAGCTACTGTTATGGGGCACTTACTATGATGTCAGCCTCTGTGCTAAATACTTTACATGCGCCTCATTTGATTCATGTAATAACCCTGTCAGGTAGACATTATTTCCACTTTAGGATGAAAAAGCTGAGGCTTACAGCAGTGAAAAATTTACCCAAAGTCATATGACTTGTAAGAAGTGGATCTGGGATTTGACTCTAGAACCATCTATCTTCACAGCGGCTATTAATAGTGGTAATAATAGCAGCTAACACTCACGGACCATTTCCTGTGTGTGTGGCATTTTGATAAGGGTTTAACTGATTATTACATTAAATATATAAAACTACACCATGAAGCAGGTACGCTTATTTCAATTTTCAGTTGAGGAACATGATGTGTTAAGACTCTTGTGCAAGGAATTTGTCATTGTAAATGCTTACATGAAAAAGGAAGATCTCAAATCAGCAACCTAACTTTACAACATAAGGAACTAAAAAAAACACCAAAAAAACAGAGCTAGCAGAATAAAAGAAATAATAAAGATTGGAGTGGAAATAAATAAGATAGAGAATATAAAAACAATAAAGAAAATCAATGAAACTGAAAGTTGATTCTTCAGAAAAGAAAAGCAAACTTGACAAACCTTTAACTGGATTGACTAAGAAAAAAAGAAGATTCGAATGACCTAAATCAGAAAGGAAAGTGGGGAAATTACTCTCAATTCTACTGAAATAATAAGAATTATAAGGGCACTATAATAAGTGTCTGCCAATACACTGAATAATGTAATAAAATGAACAAATTCCTAGAAACACAAAACCTACTAAGATGGAATCACAAAGAAATAGAAAATATGATAAGACTATAGTAAGGAGAATGAATCAGTAAAAGCATTCAACAAAATACACCATTCTTTCATGATAAAAACACTCAAACTAGGAAAAGAAGAAAACTATCTCAATGCATCAAAGGCCATATATGAAAAATCCACAGTTAACATCATTCTTAATGGTGAGAGACTGCAAGTTTTCCCTCTAAGATCAGGAACAAGACAAAGATGCCTGCTTTTGCCACTTCTATTCAAGATATTATTGGACGTCCTTGTCAGAGCAATTCGGCAAGAAAAAGAAATAAAAGGCATCCAAATTGGAAAGAAGTAAAATGATCTTTGTTCACAGATGACATGAAGTCACATGTAGAAAACACTAAAGTTCCCACAAATCAACCATTGGAAGTAGTAAACAAATTCAGCAAGGTTGCAGGATACTAAATCAACATGCAAAAATCAGTTGTACTTCACTTGAAACTAATTTAAATAAGTAAGTTTGTTTAAAAAAATTAGTTGTACTTCTATACACTAACAATGAACAATCTGAAAAGGAAATTAAGAATACAATTTCATTTACAATAGCATCAAAAAGAATACAATACTTAGAAATTAACCAAGGAGACTTGTACAGTGAAAAATTACGAAACATCACTGAAAGAAATCACAGACACAAATATGTGGAAAGACATCCTGTGTTCATGGGTTGGAAGACTTAATTCTGTCGAGATGACAGTGCTACCCAAAGTCCTGTCATTGAGAATTGATAGGACTTTTTTTTGCAGAAATAGAAAAATCCAACTTAAAATTCAAATGAGATTTCAAGGGATCCCAAATATTCTGATTTTTGACAGAGGTGCCAAGAGCATTCAATGGGGGAAAAGGCAATCTTTTCAACAAATGATGTTGGGAAAACTGGATATATATGCAAAAGAATACAAAAAAAATTAACTCAAAATGGATTTAAATGTAAGACTTAAAAAAAAAAAACAAACAAAAAACTAAATCTAAGAGCTAAAACTATAAAAGCTCTTAGTCGAAAATAGAGGGTGAGTTTTTTATGACTTTGGATTAGGTAGTGACTTCTTGGATATGAAACCCAAACCACAATCAGCAAAAGAAAAAATAGATTAGTTGGACTTCAGCTAAACTGAAAACTTTTGTGCATCAAAGGATACTATCAACACAATGAAAAGACAACCTACAGAGTGGGAGAAAATATTTACAAATCATATGTCTGATAAGGAATTAATATCCAGAATATATAGAGAATTATAACTCAGCAACAAAAAACCCAATGAAAAAATGGGTTAGGGACTTAAACAGATATTTCTCTATAGATGATAGTTACATGACTAATAGTCATATGAAAAGATGCTCAACATCGCTAATTACTACAGAAATGCAAAATAAAACCTCAGTGAAATACTACCTCACACCCAAGGGGATGGCTATCATATATTTTTAAAAAGCCCAAATGACAAGTGTTGGCAAGGTTGTGGTAAAATTGGAACTTCTGTACATTGCTGGTGGGAATGGAAAATGTTGCAGCCAATGTGGAAAATGGTATGGCAGTTTCTCCAAAAGCTGCACAAAGAATTACCATTTGATGCAGCAATTCCACTGCTGGGTGTATACTCAAAAGAACTGAAAGCAGGGATCGAACACATATTTGTATACCTATGTACAAAGCAGCACAATTCACAATAGCCAAAAGGTAGAAACAGTCCAGAAGTTCACGGTTAGATGAATGATAATCAAAATGCGATGCATACATACAAGAGAATGTTATTCATAAAGCCTCAAAAACGAATGAAATTATGATATATGCTCCAACATGGATGAACCTTAAGAAATCATTTATGAAATAAGCCAGACACTAAAGGACAAATATCATATGATTCTACTTATTCAAGGAATCTAGAATAGTCAAATTCATAGAGAGAGGAATTAGAACGATGGTTACCAGGGGATGAGGTGGGGAGTGGGGAGGTATGTTTAATAGGTACACAGATTTAGTATGATGAGATGAAGAAGTTCTGAAAATGCAGAGTGGTGATGATTGTGCAAGCGTTAATATGATTATACTAATGCCACTGAACCGTATGCTTAAAAATGATTAAAATGGTAAACCTTTTGTATGTTTTACCATATAAAAATGGCTACAGCAGAAAAAAAAAGAATCTTGTCAAGGTCACACAATGATTGCTAGACCCAGAATAAGAAACTAAGGATATCCGAGCGGAGACAGAACTCTTAACTACTTTGCCATTCTGTTTACTGTAATTGGTCTCCTGATTGATAGTCTGCCCCTCGTGATGTCTGTGCATTTTGAACATCATCGATAGAACGATCCTCCAGGAAGATGTAGGATGGAGTGAGGGGTCACTTACATGGCACATCCAGCCCAAGGGGGTCACTTTCCTAGAGCTTTTGTGACCTTCCACATGATCGGACCTCCTATCTAGTATGGTAGCTTTACACAGAGAAGGGAAGGCATTTCCTTTTTGTTAAATAATTATTAGAGAATGAGAACTGTCCAGCCATGACCTTAGGACCTGGAGAAGTTCCCATCTAAAGGATTTCTCAATCTGATAGGACTTTCTCTCCTGGCCTGTGGACTGACTATCACAGAGAGAGAAATCTCTAGTGTAAAGTAGTCACAGTTTCAAAAGGCTGGTACTCTTAGTCTTCTCTGTAAACTATGAACATTTTGGCACTGCGCCTGTCCCATGAAGGGACTTCATAGATGAATCTGTGTATTTTTCAAGTATGTACCACTATTCGCTGTTCTCCTTTGGTATATCATATAAACTGGTGTCACATAGTGTTATATAGATGGTGACTTCAGAGCCAGGACACAGCTAAGAGGAGCCTGCCCCATGGCTTGCTCTTTTCCCATTTCCACGCAGCCTGGCTTGAGGGAGGCTCTGGTGTCAATTGGTGTTACAATTTTGCCAACTGAGGACAGGCCACCCATGCAGCTCCTACACAGGCCCCTATTCCACCACAGATGGCATCAGAGCAGAGTCAGTCACCAGGTGAGCCCAGAGCACAGCGGAGCGCAGAGGACTATCTTGCTCACTCCTCCTTGGAGATGGTTTCGTACTTTTGTTTTGGGAAAAAAAAGAGGTGAACTTGATTCAAAGCCCTGTCTTTTCCTTGTAGCACATGGAGTAGGTAACAGGAAAGAGGTGACAGAGGAATGTGTTAATGATAGAAGAAGCAACTTGACCTTGAGGACCCATGGCTTTTCCCCTCTGTGAAGACTCCTCTACCACATGGGGCTTTCTGGGGCTGAGAGAATCCCATCCTCACATTCCATGCTGGACCTACATCTGCCACGAGAAATCAGAGAGCAAGGGGAGGAAAGAGTCTGCAGAGATGTCGGAGGAGGGTTCAAGGGAAGTATTTGTGATTTGCTCGTGTCCATGGCCACAGGATGGCAAATAACACCTAGGCTGTCTTCTGAAAACCAGACAGACCTCCACCCTGAGCTGGTGCCAGTGGTCCAGGGAGCCACTTACCCGAGACTGTGATACTTTTGACTGTGGTCCTATTGAGGCCAGTGACAGAGTTATGGACGAGGCAGGTATAGGATCCACTGTCATTCACAGTGATGTGGGGGATAAAGAGCTCCTGTGTGGGCTCCTGGGGCCTCCCATTGATGAGCCAAGAATACTGTGCGGGTGGGTTAGAGTCTGCGTGGCAGGAGAGGCTGAGGTTTGCCCCAGAACTGTAACGGGGGTTTGAGGGGGAAATGGTGGGGGTCTCCGGGCCATCTGGAACAAAGAGAACAAAGCCAATGTGACGTAATCAGAGGGAAGGGGAAGCTCATTGTCTCTACAGGGCCACACTGTCCCTCTGAGCTGGGTCATTCTTATTTTAAAATGTCCCAACCATAACCCCCTGTGTTCACTGAGCCTGAGTCTGAGACATTAACCTGTTTCCTATGGCAGGTGGTTGACCCCGAGTTTCTCAAGACAGGAGCAGCCTGTCCCCTCCTAGTCTTGGCTCAAGGCTGGGACTGCCTGGATTTGCCTGGGACAGGAAGTCATGGCCAGCCTGGGTGCCTGGGGTGAGGGTCTGTGTACTTGGACTTCAGAGGGATGGATGCAGTCTGGCCTCTGGCAGTGGGGCTGTGGG